CCCCAAAACCCCAAAACCCCAAAACCCCTTTTAGAAGGCTTCAATTTGAAAATAGACATAATATTTGTACTAAAAATCAGAGTGTGGATTATCACGATGGAAGTCTATTTCAGGATAAAGAGCTATACACTCCTTTTCCTCTGATTCCAGTGTCTTGCGAGGATGGTAGGATAGCCACAATGATGGTGATGTCGTCTATTACAGAGTCTCTTAGCTTCCATAATCTCACACTTTCAGAAACAACTTTTTCACATCCTTTGCGGGGTTTATGTGCTTTGATATAGTTTGTAAGTATATTAGTAACTTGTTTGTTAGAAAGGAATTCCCAAACTCCATCTGAAGCTAGTACTACAGCTTTATCTTCCTGAGTTAAAGGGCAATGCTGTATTTCTGGCTTATGAGTTACTCCAGCACAGCAAGCTACTTCATCGCCAAAGGATCGACTCATTGCGAGACCAGGGATTTGTGCCCTTTTGAGCCAGACTCTGGGAGGCCCTATATTTTTCTTATTTGAATCTCTGAATCAAGCAACCCTTCCTCCGTTTGATTCAATCCTGCTATTTCTCATCTGAAAGGTCAGGCTTGTGATCTCTAGAGAGAGCTTTTCAAGTCCACACTTCCTGTTTGGTACCTTCATTATGACATTTTATCAGAATTGAGCGTGAGTCTCCTACATTAGCTCATGTAAGAACATGGTCAGGCCCAACGAGGCAGATATTGGCAGTTGATCCAGAGAATTTAAATATCAATAGCACGATTATTTTAATTTCTTTTGAGCATTATCAATGCTCTGCTCGATAATTTTTGTCCTAAATCTTAAATTCTGATAGGTATCTAGCCTAGCTGGATTATTTGTCCTTGTTAATGAACCCTGCAGTCATCGTTTTAAAGTTTGAGTTGATGTCAGTCCCTACAGGAGAAGTGAGCTCCTCATATGCCTATTGGTTAGTTAGTAAATACCCTCTTGATTTCTTCAGGTATAGCATTCTTGATGAACCCTGAGACTTTGGCCCCGTTGGTTCCGTGCCCATCAAAAACACCAAGGAAGTAGTTATTCGTAATTCCTAAGAAGTTTTGAAGAATTATTGATGAGTCTTGGTTCTGCTTCTTCTTGAAGCCTGTTTCTGGCAAAACAGGAATGTAGCCTGTCCTGGTCATCTTTGCAAAGGTAAGCCTTCCTCCTAGAGGCGAGGATGTCTCTGGGGAAAACTCTTCTTTATCTAGTTGCAAAGGCTCAAGGGATTTCCTTGCTTTGTTTGAAGTAATATTTGATAACTCTCTTGAGATAATATTAGCTCTCTCTTTATTCCTGATAGATTTGAAGTTCTTTAAATGGTCAAGGGACATACCCCTCCCTGTGCTTTGCCGAGGATTCTCCTTTGTGATGCACTTATATCTATTAAGGACTTTCTGAAGGTTCACATTTTTGGTCTGGGCATGGATCTTATCCTTGATCCTCATTTGCTCTCGGATGCTTTGTTGGATGTTATCTGGAGTTAAGCAGGGAGATTACTCTTTTGATCGGAACTCTTACGGATAAACTGGTTGATACTCTGGATAAGCTCACTCTTATTTCCATGTTTCTTTTCTATTATCAAGTGTTATACTCGCCTTTAACGACGGACTCAGAGGGCTCTTGGTAGGAATACCATAACGATTGTTCAAGTTACGTGTTGATTGTGAAGGAGTTAATAGACTTTGTGCTTTTATGTTGGGATCTCTCAGTTTTTCTTTGTCAAAAACCCATTTGTAGCATTCATCTTCAGTTCTTCTCTGGTGTCTTTGGTATTCATCATATTACCTCTCTGAAATTTTAGAGGTGTAATGTTGGTAAAGTTTGTTGGATCTTTGAGGATTTTCGGGGAACTGATGGGAGCTAAGTTTGCTCCTTGGAATTTTACATCTTTCTAAATCAAACTTAGACCTGTATTACAGCTGATTTTACCTTAAGCATTGAGATTGAGGGACTCCGTTTTCGGAATGAACCTGTTGTTGAAATTTAAAGCCATTCTTGAAACTCGCCGGAAATATGAACATATTGAGCTAGATCGCCCAAGCATAGAGAACCCAGTGGGATATCCTTTAAGCGCACTTACCTGGCTTGTTCTCTTTGACAGTAAAATACTCCTCGCTTGAAGGCTGATTATTAAAATACCTGGTTGGAATGAGAGCTTTCTTGGGTGAAAATGGGGCTAAGTTCTTGTACTTTAGAAGCTTGTCGTTGTTCATCTATACAGCATCAGAGCGATCAGGTCACGTCTAGTGGCTACAGCAGGGCTCCACTGGAATTGTGTGCTATGCTGATGTAGAAGAAAAGGCAGGAAAAAGATGTATTCCATTACTTTATCAGGATTTAGCTAATTTATTATAAACTTCAACCTTCAAGGTGGTCGAAGGGGTTTTGGGGTTTTGGGGTTTTGGGGTTTTGGGGTTTTGGGG